GGTGTGGATGCGCTTGATGTGCATGTTGACAAGGTGCCTACCTGTCTATTACCCACTACATCGTTCATACTGGCTCCAGGAGACAGTTGGTCGTTGCTGGAGGGGACGGGGTGCACGGTTCTTGTGGCCGTGCTAGGCTCAAAGAGCGGTTCCATGCACTCAGTGTGGAGCGGACTACGGTCCAGCCACCGCCTTGTGTGCGGTTGATTCCCCAAATACAGCGTGCTTGTGTTTGGCTGTGAAGGAGTGTGGGCCGGCTCCGTTGATGAAACGTGGCTCCCATCCGCATGCCTCCCGGTCTTATTCCTTCGGGTTTACACTGGATATGGGGTGTGTGGATGGAGCTGGGGGTGGTGCAGCGCAAGCCATCCATGGTCCCTCTGTAGGCGCAGGCGTCTTGTGTCTGGCCACAGTGATAGGCAAATCCGAAACCGGATGCCGCGAACCATATATATCGGTGCATAGTGCCCCATGCTGAGGTTGATGTCGCGTTCATGATGCTTCTTCCCCGCAGTTAGGCTAAACCAACTTACGCTTAAACTAGGTCTTTTCAATGTGGATAAAATTCATTCCATTTTATATCGTTTGTTCTGCGTACTTGATAATCTCCCAACTTACACACGTCGCTCATGCAAATTGTGGTGAACTTGCGTTATTTTTATCGCGTGGTATTTTTTAAATAACTTTCGGACATTTTTTGCTTATCGCGTACTCACATTTAACCACTTTCTTCCATATGCTCATTTAGCGAGTATTTAATTCGTCATATGCGTTTACTTTATTCGATATCGGCATTTCGAATGATTGGCTGTTGTTTGACATCCCAGGTGTGCCTGCGCTTGATGTGCATGTTGACAACGTGCCTACCTGTCTATTACCCACTACCTCGTCCATCTGGCTCTACGAGACAGTTGGTCGTTGCTGGAGGGGACGGGTTGCACGGTCCTTGTGGTCGTGCTAGGCTCAAAGAGCGGTTCCATGCACTCAGTGTGGAGCGGACTACGGTCCAGCCACCGCCTTGTGTGCGGTTGATTCCCCAAATACAGCGTGTTTGTGTTTGCCTTTGAAGGAGTGTGGGCCGGCTCCGTTGATGAAACGTGGCTCCCATCCGCATGCCTCCCGGTCTTATTCCTTCGGGTTTACACTGGATATGGGGTGTGTGGATGGAGCTGTGGGTGGTGCAGCGCAAGCCATCCATGGTCCCTCTGTAGGCGCAGGCGTCCTGTGTCTGGCCACAGTGACAGGCAAATCCGAAATCGGATGGCGCCAACCATATCGGTCCGTAATAGCCATCAAAAAACCATGAGGAACCAAATTAAAAAGTGAGTACAAATATCAGGAACAGCGAACAAATATTTCGCGCTGTTTGACTTTTGTTCTTTGGTTTCACTCGTCACACGTGATTTCGATCGAAGTAACTTTATTCACATTGTTCAAAACATTTACATATACGGCTCTTCCATTGCTCCCGGTTACGCGCCATATCACTAAGTATGTCGAACCATTGGCAGGCCTCATTCTTGGGTTCCCAACCAAGGAGACTTAGAGGGCCGACGGCTGGGAAACAGGAGGTGAACGATTTCACGCTTTGCCGCCAAGTGTTTGGCTGACCTCCATGTGTTCTCTTCCAATTCAATCCCATTCGAGCAAACAAGGTGCGACGTGGCAAGCGTTCGCATGACATACGCAGAACATGGCCAATCAACCTCAATTGCTGCTTTGCGACAACGCGATTAAGCGGAAGGCTCATGTTTCCCAAGACAAATCCTGTACTGCCACCACCTACACATGGGCTATGCGCCGCAAACATGGGTTGTCTAAGACCGAAAGCCTACGCATGTCATCCACACGGATCGGCCAAGACTCATTTCTGTACCGCAGGACCGCGCGGACACTACTGTTGCAGACCCACCCCTTTAAGGAGATGGATATGTCACGACGACTCCACAAATAACTCAGGTTGATAAATGCAGACCGGGCTTTAGCGATGCGAAAAGGTACCTCTTTCCCAATAGTTTGTCATCGGCAGAAATACAGCTTCCGAGGTAGATAAAGTTGTCCACAACCTCTAGCTGTGTTCCTTCAATGGTAAGTGAGGCGGCAGACGGCTCCCAGTCCTGGAGTAGCACTTTACAATTCAAGGGGATGACCTTCAGCAGTTTGAATATCGCAGCTCAAAGTTTACCTTAGATGTAGTACCATGTCTGGCACATACTGTGCTTCCATCCCTGGACAATAAAAACAAAAGCATATGCATCTGCTTTTTGGAATTCAACAACTTTTTGGGTGTGTGAACCGTGGACTAAGTGATCTATTACGTTCTGAAATTCAAATTACTGTTGTTCGAATGTTGAAGGATTATTTCACCGGGCATACTCAGTATGCCAGGCTAATAGGAAAAATCTCTTCACTCACCACGAACTCTGGTGTTCTTCAGGGAACCATTTTGTCCACATTCTTATTTTTCACTCACGTTGCCACAATCCACGTCCCTGAAGAAGCCATCTTGCTGGTGTGCGGACAACGTAATACTTTATGTCTATCATCCAAGCATCGGCTCATCTTTCAAACTACGGGCCCTCCTGGACAACCTCACAGCTGGGTCCCAATCCCGTTGCCTACCGTTAAAGATTTTAAAATGCAAGGATGTCCTTTTTCCGCCGCTAAAAAAATTGCTACCAACAAACCCTAACTCATTGTCCGCAACTGTGCACTGACGATGAGTGATTGCACTCGTTCACTTCAATAAAATACCTGGGAGTGACACTGAGCAGTGGGCTTACGTGATTCCTTCACCTGAACAAAACATTCACTCTCATTCTAAGTCATACGTTTCAGGTCTTCTTCCTTACAACAGTTTTGAATCCAACGTTTTATCACGGCATGCGTGTTGTCCTACTGGACCTATTGTTCTCGCATCATCTCTTCAGGTCTTCTTGGTAAGAACCACAAAGTAATTGTCGGGTCAATGAAGCATCTATCCAGGTGTAGTGACATTTCAAAGCTGGGACTTGTTAAAATCATGTTAGTCAACCATGTCAACATATACAACAAGCTTTCATCTAAAATACTCACAGATGTTGGGCACTTCCTCCCTAAAGCATTTTGGGAATGCACATCAGCCTTCTCGAACAGACAGAGCTACAAGACTATATACTTCCGTACATGGTACATGGCCCATGGCACATCAGTAGTTCCTTGTTTATCACGTTTATTGAACGATGTCAATTCTGTTATACAAGAACTGGTTAGTACAATACTCCCGGGATATTTTCTCTGACACGTTTCTAGCGATGTTAGTTTTATATCCATCCCTATGTATTATTCGTTTTCCTTATTTATTCCTATCGGTAGCGTGTGTGTTAGAGCTGAATATTCAAACTTTATGGGTGTATAAAACACATTCTTGACTTGACTTGACACAGGTAAGCAGACTTCCCAAATCGAATATCTTTTGAACTCCGTCGACCGGCGCGCACACTTTCGCTGATGCAGCCTCAGCTTGCACTTGGGCCTCGTTTGTTCCTGCTTTTCATTAACGATCTAGTAAGAGTTATTACGTCGAAATTCTTACTCTTCGCGGTCGACCTCAAGGTTTAGCGGGCGATAAAACGATCGGACGACCATAAAGTCCTACAGCGTGACTTGAATGAGGCCTGGAATTGGTCGGTGAGAAACGCCCTGCCGTTTAATGTGAACAAATGTCGCGTTGTTCATATCCGCCATCGACAAGTCCACGTCTACAAGCTTGGGGCACACGATCTGAAGACCACCACTCAGGAACGCGACTTGGGTGTGCTGGTACAGGATGACCTCGGGTGTTCCAGACAGTCAGATTCCGCTTCTAAAAGGGGCAACCAGCACGTTGGACTCCTGCGAAGAGCATTCGGAATTTTGGATCCATCCATCTTCTGTTTGATGCTGAATGCCTACGTGCGTCCTCACGTAGAATATGCAATCCAGGCCTCCCAACCCTGGCTAAAACGTGACCTTGCAGCGCTTGAGACCCCACAGCGTCGAGCAACGAAAATCGTCAAGGGCTTGCGCCACACTCCTTACCAGGAACGACTGGAGATACTCGGAGTGTTCAGCGGACGGTACCGGGGACTTCGTGGAGACCTCATACTAGTGTACCAGATATTGAACGATCCCAGTCACGTATGCCGCCACCTCTTGAAGCCCAGCCCGAACACTAACCTTCGCGGTAACAGTTTAAAGCTGAGCCAACAGTACAGTCGTCTAGACTGTCGGAGAACCTATTTCTCCCTCCGGGTCTGCGGGCCCTGGAACGCCCTTCCAAACTCAGTTGTTTGTGCCCCCACATTAGATACGTTTAAAAAACGATTGGACGTCGCACTGAGCGCCCTGCGCTTTGTTTTATGGACGAAAACGCTTGTATATATTTAGGCTGACCAGCCTCTTTGAATTTATACCCCAAATTCACGGTCGTAAATCTGTGCGAACCGGTGAGTACTCCATTTTTATTTGCTACCATCACCAACGATAACAATTTCTTAGCCAGTTTTGCGTCGTACCACTTTATCCCCCTAAAACTGTTATACTTCTACCTTTTGTCTCACTGAGGCTCCTTACTTCAACCACTTATGTGGTTTGCCAATCTGTTACTATTTCTATTGCCAACCTGCGGGACTCGTTAAGTGTATGCTTTTTTACCCGTCATATACCATTGTTCCATTGTTCCATTGTACATGACGCCGCTGTCAGTTCTCTCTGGAAATAAAATCCGGTACGAAACAAGTCGTCTCCATGGGTCATCTGTGATTTTAATACTATCTCTAGTGAATTTGCCTATTGAGATTGTACCTTAAATGATAGCACGTCGGTTTGATGTTTCCGAGTTGCAAGGCACAGCGCATTTTACGAAAACAATTGGTTGACTCGAAAAAAACTAATATTTGTAAAGCATACCGTTTTTCTGGTAGACAAATACTAAAATATTTGCTTGTCAAACATATGTAGTGCGAAATGGATAGATTTACCTGCTCATGAAATACTTTCAGTTTGGTAACTAGTACCTTCCACACGGTCTATCATGTATTGAATAGGATCTGCAGGGCGATGCAGCACCATGTCGTTAAGAAATTCCTTTAAGCCAAGTCAGTGCTTTCGATGGCCGAAAACTCACCCGAAACAGTGGAAGTATTCCATGTTTCGCCAAATATGCAACGGCTCTAAAGTGAGGATCAACGTACGCTGGACCAGATTCTTCTTCGTAAAGCTCTTCGCTTTCAGATGACAACTTTTCGTCCATGTGCTATCTGCTGCAATAAAGACGCATAAAACTTAGCAACATCCTGGTAAATTTGAACAGTGAACAATACTTTAGCACGGTTAAGAAAGCAGATGCTTGGCAAGTCCAACAGGATTGAAAACTAAATGGCAAAGAATAAATGATTGGGGGGTCATTTTGAGGTACTCGTTGTGTGAATGGACTGCAACGTTCAATGTAGATACGATTCTCATTGAAGTGAACCTTTGTCAATGCGATCACTTGAACCCTAGCATAAGCAGCTGAAAACTGTGTTGCTCACCCGAAAAAACTGCACACCACGACGCGTTTCGACATTGTTTGATCACACTAGGTGGAGGTAGCGAGCCTCGAACCCAGGACCATTAGAATGTCAGCCGAAACCTTTATCACTTCGGCCACTGGGTCACGAACAACCTGTTCGTGGTGCCGGCTGGGTGGTACGTGATCTAGCCGTTCCAGTGAATAGTTCGGTGACAGTGCTCCAGGACGTGTTGCGTTTTCGCCTGGCTAGCGTTCTCTTTATAAAAAGCCACATATGTCTGTTTAACAGCACCGCGACGTGGCGGATGTGACTTGCCACTAAATTTAGTCATTGCCCTTTGCTTCACTCCGGTGGAACATTGTATTCCAGCTGCCAACTGGTGTTACCTCGGGGGAGATCGAGTCCCTGTTTGCTAGCTTACCAAACGGAAGGCGTATGAACCATCGGTCACCGGCTTCCAGTGGGCACGATTCCCTGAATTCGGCCCGCTGCCTTGCCGGTACGCTATCGAGCCAAAGGCTCGTGGTGGTGTCTCCTAAGTCAGCACTCTACTTCGGCCTGGGAAATCGATTATTATCGCGTCCACTGTAAAAATCCATGGATCACACAACTGTTTCGTATTCTCTCGCTCTTGCCTCCATCGCTTCTCACCATGATTGAGCAACAGACAGGCCTCGCATGTACTCTGTGTTCCCTCGCCATTGATATCTCCTGCTTTTCTGAAACGCGATTGCAGGACCCAAGTACTGTGCTAAAGTTGCAATCTCCGACCAGTCAGGAAGCCACATACAACAGCTTTTTCTGGCGGCACAGAAGCTCCTTCTGCAGGCTTGGCCGGCGTTGATGTGGCGTGAGGCAACAAAGCCTAGGCTGCACTCCTTGAGTGATTCCCAGTTAACAGCCCATTATGTGCAGTTTGCCTCCAGGGCTCACGCAGGGTTAACCGTTCGTTCTGGAAGACACAATCTGTTTGTAGTTTCCGCTTCCGTGCCAACCGATTGTAGCTCGGAACTGAACAATGATATTTTTACTATCGGCTTCTTCCGCTATTACGCAAGGCTACGAAGTCGGAAGTCATTCTCCTGGCCGGTGACTTCAACGTAGGTATCGGTCAGATATTGCCAAGTGAATAGCATCTGAGTGATCACTATGTACTGATGGGGAATCGTTCAGATAACAGAACCACGTCTAACAATTGGTGCGAAGACAACAGCTTGTTTCTGGTAAGCTCAAACCTTAGGTACTCGAGGAGACACTCTGCCACCTGGCGTTCTCTTCATCGTCGCAGGCGTGGTCACAAGTAGACCACATTGCAATCAGTTTCAGGTGGCGTGGTGGCATACAAGACTGTAGGACATTTTGGTCTCATCGTCATCATTATATTCCTTAGCTGGAGGTGGAAGATATCTAAGCTACTGTACCGCAATACATAAGAAAAAAAGGTACGTACAACAAGTGAATGCAAGTTGAGCTACCAGTAACGGATGCGCAGCGTTCCGGAAAGCTACCAGCCGGCCAATGTGCCGCAAAAATTATTATCCAAAACTTGTATTGTGCTAAGTAATGAGATCGTGGTTGGGAGGGGAGGCTAGAATGGGGGAACAAAGCAACTCACAACACGAACGCCACTGAAGGCAGCTCCTTGCCTTAGGTCGTTCCAATACCAGGTGATTCTTTTCCCTGTGTAAAATCCCTCCATTACACTGTCGGATACCCCCTGGATACTACTGTTTCGGTAGGCATTTGGTTCCGAAGAGCAAAGACATTTCGATGCCATGAAGTTAATCAATAAAACTAGTATTTCACAAGTGATCTAACTATTTGAGAAACGAAGGGGAATCCAACAATGCGTGTGTTCTGCTCGTCACCAGTTTTTCAAATTACAACTGCAGCGTGGAGGAAGTGTGAACAATTTTATCGCACGCATCCACCAAGCTACTCCAGAGTGCCGTTATAACACTATGACACGTTTCGAAGAGGTCATGAAGATTCAGTGTCTGATAGCAATGTATATAAGTGATGTTTCAAGAGAAAAATACTATCCCAAGAGGAAGAAGTTTTTCTGCGAAACAGCTTGCAACCTACTCCGTCAAAGAGAACACCTGTAAACAGTCGTCCGCGTTTAGCACCTTCCAGCTTGCAGAAAGCGTAAACAAACGAACTCGTCCTTTTTCCTATGAAGATATCATACGGAAATTTGTATGCTATCGATGCAGTGATCAACACACTTCCATCAACCAGTGCCCTCATATACATACAAGGTGCAGGAAGTGTGGTAAAGTTGATTATTTGTGCCCATGTGTGACTGACCCTGAGCAAACTTGTGTGCTACTCGCTCATTTTTGCGCTCGTAGTTTTTTAACTGTGGCTCAGAGACATTTTGTCGCACACCTTTGGATCTATACTCATTCGTCGTGCCTTTACAAGCTCTACTTCATTTTTCCGGAGTATACTCTATACCATTTCTCACTTGCTAACATCCTTAACGCAACCGCTTACCTCCTTAGTGCAGAAGCTATCATTCTTATTGCAGAAGCTCTCCTCCTTAATTCAAAGGCTATCATCCGATAATCATCGCACTTGCATCCACGTAGCACTGCGTGGGCAGAGGCTACCAGCCAATAGAATTCGATATAGCCTAGAGACTGAACACAGTTACGCGCAGACTACTCACGCTTTCTGAGGTTGCTAGGAAAACTGTGAGACTTGGGTGAGACTAGCGTGGTCCAACTCCAATGGACGGCAATTGAGACTTTACTAAACGGAGTTCAGCCGGTGCACACTGTGCCGCGCGACCTCACTGCACAATGAGGGTGTCTGAGACATCCATTGGAGCGCGCACAGTCTATGAGGGAAAGGAAACGCGTGCACTCAGAGCACCGGGTATAAGCCTGAAGTGTAGTCAAGCCAGTTTTGTAAGTGAGCAAAGGAGATGTCTGAGGCTGGGGCGCAAGTGATGCACGCAGGACAACGGTGCACAACGTTGGCTTGGTACTAAAATGGTGAACTAAACGAGAGGCACAGATAGGTTGCCTCGTTTTGGTGGGTTTTCAGGCTAGTTCGGTCGAACAGTTGAAGGCGCAGTGGAAGCTACAGTTCGACCTCGAAGTCAAGTTGTTCGTAACATAAGGAGCGGAACGATCTCCGTCGCGGCAGAATGGATACCAGTCACTACACGTAACTACTTCCTTTATGCGATGAAATATCCCTTTTGTGACGGAACCACAGGTCTAAGTTGAACGCGGGGTAGAAGGTAATCATATTCCAAACAATTCGCCCCCTACGAATCACACAGATCAAATCTGATCGAGGTAGACGGGTCAGCTCCCAGGTAGAAAGAGATAATCACCAATGGGGGGATGAAGGAGGTATATGATAGATGTTTGATTGCAGCCATGCAATTTCCTTTCAAAGGATACGTTAAAAGGTGGATTGTATTACTTTCCTCCTTGTTCCGCAAGTACGCAGACATGTAATCTTTTGTTGCAAAGGGATTACCCTACAAACAGCTGGTATCGTGAAATATGGGGGAATTGCGAGCCGGTGCACTCTACGGCACTTGTCCCCAAGATTTGTATCGCCGTGGACCGGTCGGCGTTCGATAATTGTACTCCGGCCCGCTGAGGGGTTTGGTGAACGTTTACAATTTAGATTGTTTTGAGTGAATAATTGTAATACAATTGTGATTGAACATGCCTCGAAAATAAAATCCAGTTACACCAACAAGCAGATATAAAGTGATATAATACGCTGGTTCACTAGAATGCTAAACTGCAGACAACCATGAGCGTGTTCCTCTGCAACGAGACTGCTCCATCTGGAGGAAACAGGACAAAATGACGCTTGATGTGTGCTGTCTAGGTCCAGTTAATTTGGTTGCTTTGTTTTGGTTATTGACACTGCAGAAAACCCCGCTTCCTACAGTTAGGTTATCAGAAATGGCAATCTGCGCGTAATTCACTATGACTTTAAATGCAGAACACAGGCGAAGTTGTCTGCCACGAAAGTACTATCAAAGCCCCCGTCATTTCCATTCTCAGTAGTGGTGCATAATGTGGGATAGATGAGTAATAATAATGCGATAATCTCACACAATGTGAGTCAACAGTTTAGAAACTGACTTGCAAATCGTCGAAATCCACAACCTTTAAATAACCATACACACATTTCTATTGTCATAATCATTATCCACCAGATGAAAAATAGCTAATATTGTGTTCTGTTGCTTGGCAATTGAAAAGAAAGGAATTTAGTTTTTCTCTCACGTCCAGAAGAAGTGCAAGGATGCCAGTGTGTCCGTTATGTATTGCGTAGGAGCGCGGAATATCAACTTCACCCTGTGCGTCTGTGAATGTATACGTTTTCAGAACGTTCGTAGAATTCTGTTCCTCCTGGCAGTCTGATTCAGTATTCACATCCTCAGCTGCTAAATTTGATGTGGTTGGCAGGTCCAAGTTTATTTCTGTTGTGTGACATGTTTGGAAATAAGAACCCACCAGATGGCTGTCAGTCAGTTTGCGTCTAAACACTTCCTCTGAGAGAGTATCCATAGCAATTGCGTTTGAACGAGGCACAATCTGTAAATTTGTCTCAGATCAACTTTACATTGTTCTCTCAAAATCTATTTCTGCAGTAGAGGGAAACCCCGCCTTAAAAACAGAGATGGTTGAGTTCTGCACCTACTTCCAGGTAGAAGTTATGTAGAACACGATGTCTAATAAATTTGCTCGTTTTATGA